CACATGCTGCACAGGTGCGCAGCTGATTTACCTGTCCGGCCAACTCCAGACGTTTGTTGCCATAGTAATCTCTGTCATCCACCTTGTTGTCGCCTTGAGCCAGGATGACTCTCCGAACCATCACCGCTAGGTAAATACACTTCGCCCGGAAGTTAAACTCCTTCACCTGTCGAGCGGAGCACAGGAAACGGTCAGCGACTCCAGCGAGCTTCGTGTGACACGTTTGAACTCGGTTACTTACTGGAACATGGGTGAGGATGAGAGACGCCAACAGCTCTCTGGCTTCCTCCATCTTGGTCTTCTTCGGACCCCCCCACATCCGCTGGCGCCGGACTTTATTACCCAGAAACCTCAGAGCCTGAAACACGGGAGCACTGAGTCATGGTACCAAACCCTCAGGCAGAACAAGAACATTCGGTCAGAAACTTTTTACAAAATAAAACGCATGAAATTTTACTCACAAACACTTAAACATAAGCGACTTAAATGCGGCTGTGAAAAACACAATCACCATCAAGTTCTGAAAAATAGATGAAAGTATCTCTTCATTTTGAGATTCTGGTATCTAAAACCAGATAAGAGTCAAATTTGGTTTGGGCAGATTACTTCTAATCAGATAACAATGTTTCAGAAGCCTTATCTTCCTTTAATTATATAGATTTAGGTCTCATTGTGCCAGACACAATGGTCCAGTGAATAACCTGAAAGGACACGGTGGAGGCTGGCAGACACGGAAACACAAGGGCTGCAGCGGCGGGTTGTTAGGACACAAACATGGCCTCCTCGATGCACGGGCCGCTCCTCTTAATGACCTCATCTTTTTGAAAAACTAATTGGCTGATTGTATTCATCTCCAAAATGACCACGAAAATGTTACTCAACTGTCTGGAAAGATGGAATCTTTATCATCCGATCAGAAAAAAAATCCTAATCTAATCCAGACTAACGAGCGTCTGACAAATCAAACAGTAAAGACGTCAGTCTGTACAAACTTTACAACTTCTGTTAGTCTTTAAAACAATCAGTATTATTAATAATAAAGATTAAAAAGTTAAAAAGATGAGATACCCGATTCATGTCATCACATCGTTGCCTGGCAACCAACTGTGCCTCCAATTAGTGATGTTTGGAGGACAAACGGTTAAGCTTTTGTGCCGTGTGTATCATGCTAAGCTAACAGCAGCTAGCTGCGGCTTCTGATTTACTGTAGAGAGCGGTAATCAACAAAATAAAAACTGAAATTGCTTCAACACTTAAAATTTACTCATGTCCCGTTTGGACTTTTAATCTTGGCTTTTACTTCACTTATAGCAGGGGTGCTCAATTCTGGTCCTGGAGGTACGGTATCCACCTTGTTTTAGCGGTTCCTCTGACTCAACACATTTGATTCACCTGTGCATCAGCTTACCAGGCTCTGCAGAAGCCTGTTAATCACCTGCTGATTGAAATCAGGGGTGTTGAAAGAGTTAAAACTAAAACTTGCTGGATAGCGGACCTACAGGCCCGCAATTGAATACCCCAGACCTATTGTAACTCAGGCCCTGTCCACACGTAGCCGGGGATATGCCAAAACGTAGATATTTTCCTACGTTTTGGCCTGTCATCCACACGAAAACTGAGTTTTTTAAAAACTCCGGCCAAAGTGAAGATCTGCGTTTTCTCCGTTTTGGGTGTCTGCGTGTGGACGGACAAAACCGGAGTTTTAAGGTCCGCAACGTCACTTTCCGCGACAAAAAAAATGCTGACATCACGTGTGCGACCTGTGTTTACACTAGCCGACAGCATGGAAGCCTTCAGAGCTGCGCTCTGTCACTACCCGATCCATCAATTGTCCAAGCGCTTATTGCTTGTTTGTTTTTGCAAGCGGAATTACTGCTCCCTGCGGAAGACCACAGACGAAGGACAAGGTTAAGAACGGGGGAAGTACTGCCGCCTACAGGTCTGGCATGTCCTTAACAACGTATTTATCCGGGTACGTGTGGACAGAGTTTGTTTTTAAAACGCGGTGGTGTGGATGCAAGTTTTTGGAGGGGCGGATATTCGTTTTTAAAAAACCCGGCTACGTGTGGACTAGGCCTAAGATTTTTGTCTCTAGACCAAAGCTAAGTGTTTCATGAGCCACAGTGGGACCCTGACCCAGACTTTTGGAACCACTGAGTATACAAAGAGGAGGGGTAAAATTAACTCATCTGTACCTGTGTCATAAACACCAGATTGGTAACCTGACCTGAGATTAGCCTGTAAAACATGTTGATGTAACCAGTGGCTTTTTTTTTTACTGAAATACCTGAGTCTGGGTGAAGATCTGGGCTTTCTGACACTCCTCCAGACTCGGGGCGAAGCTAGCCATGACGTTCTCCTCGGTGCCGATCATCTGAACGATCTCCTGGTCACTTTCTACACCCATACCCTGTGTGGGTCACAGACATGATGCAGAAGACAAGGGACTAATGTGAAAGGGGTGAACTAAATCATTTCAATATATAACCACGTTGAGACTATATGAGCTGAAACATTAGGAGGTGGAGTGTTGGTGGGGGTCAGAGAGGTTAGCTCGGAGTCATGGGGGTGCATGACATTTGCTTATGAAAATGTGAAGCTGTGGGAACTGATTCGTGTGCTCCACGGAGGAGATGAGGTCGCAGAAGGAGGTGGGGAAGGAGCAGTCCAGGATGTACGAGCTCTCAGCAAACAGAACCGAGGGTTCAGACACTCACAAGGTAATGTGTTAGAAAAGCTTTTCTCCAGAGGTGATGGGAGATCACAGCACCAGCTGTTCCACTGACATTTTCACTCCGGCTGATGAACAGAGTTCATCAAAACCTCCCACAGCATGAGTTTATCAATTATGATTTTACACAGATCAGAGCTGCAGAGAAAATCTTCTCTTTAGTTGTGTTGCAGCGCCACCTACTGGACGTACTTAAACTGGTTTTACCTTGAATATAATAGCGATGGGAGCGTCTTCAGACAGCGTGTTGTGTCTCAGGTAGAACCGACCCTGCTTCACAATCATGTTGGTTCTGCTTTTCTTCTCGTGAGTGGAGCTGAAACAAAACAACAAGTTAAACTGTCTAACTCCTTCATTTGGGAGGAAGCTGTAACTTTATTCCTACCTGGTAACCGAGGCGCCGACTGCACCCTTCCTGTCCTGTTCCACAATGATCCGATTCTTGGACAGCTGCTCCTGGATCAGGATGACTTTCTCCTGGCCTTTTACAATAAAATAACCTCCTGAAAATCAAAAGAACACAACTCTGTCAAACAGAGGACCAGAATAAAACATTAAGAATTAGAGTTAGATCCTTTTTAACAACAGTGTACCTGGGTCCAGAGGACATTCGTTGAGTTTAGAAAACTCCATGGGAGTCTTTCCTGTGAGAACACAGTTCGAGCTTCGCAGCATGATCGGCATCCTGACACGAGTAGAAAGAATCCTCTTAACAATAACATCTTGACGAGTTTTGAAAGCTGAAATGCAGAATTTGAGAGATAAATTAGAATGAGTCAAAAATCAGAAACCTTCCAATAGGCAGAGCGTTTCGGATGATCCTTTGACTGCCGCGAGTGTATTCTATGTCCACTGTGATGGGCGCCGAGTAGGTCATGTCCCTGAGGCGACACTGTGGAAACAGAATTTCTCCTTTAAGCAAAATAATCAACAAATATTCCCATAAATCCACTGATGGATTTAATTTACAAACCTGTCAGACTGAAACATGATCTCATCTGATCAGACTCACCTCATGAGGAGAAACCGGTCGGGTTACGTTAAAGCTTTCCTCAACATCGGGCATCCCAACGTAGATATTGAGGTAGCTGCACAGGAACCACTTCTCAGATTAACTCCAATTCAAGATAAAGGGCGTGTCAGTAATATAACGATTGAATAACTTACTTCAAGTACCACAGTGGATCAGCATCACTTGTGATCTTCTCATTTGCTTTCATAATTTTCTTGATCTGAAACACAAGATGCTTTTAGTGAAGTGAAATCTTAAACAGAGGAGTAAAAGCCCGGTTGGTGGGTTTCAGCTTTACCTCAACGTTAATGAAATAGTTAAACGAGTCAATGTGCTGCTTCACCAAACCTTTCACCTGCAACGCACACAGAGATGAAAGAGAAAAAAAGAGAGGAGCATGGATGTATCTCATGGTTAAACTCTTAGGTCACTGAGGGCTAAAGGGATTAACTTTAATTATTTAAACCTGACTTTTCATAAATTAATGAATCTGATTAGATCAAATTAACTAACAAAAGTCGGAAATTAAATTAAAAATACAACAGAAGTCTTCAAATTGTAGAATTAATAAAAATCTGGATTATAAATGGAAATTTCTGCTTAAATATTTGTCTAGATTTTCCTCGGGGGGGATAATTCTACTTATTGTGTTACCTTCAGAAAGGCTGGTAACAACTTCCATTTTTCCTGTCAGGAAGAGAAACAAACCAGTTAATTAATTAAATTATTCCGTTTCTGGAGCACTTTATGCCGAGGTTGGCCAAACTCTGGATTTAATGCTACAATGTTCCAGCTGTGACATAATTCCAGACTCATTTAACAACTAAGAAGCTTCGTTGCACCACACCATCAGTTAAATCTGTTGAATTAGCTTACTGCACTGCACTCGTGGTGTAAAAACCTTTTTGTCCGATTTTCCCCGAACTTACCGCCACAGTGTTGACAGGAGCCGCCAACTCCTGAGGAGTCATTTCTCCAAACTCTCCTCCCAGCAGCTCCATAGTCACCGTTGCTGTTCTACTCTAAACATTTAAAAATATAAATAACGTTAGTGTTGACACAACACGCAGGAAGTGTCGGCTGCATGCGTCCCAGCTATGTGTTTCAATTTCAAGCGTACGTAGAAACGTTGGGCGGAACTACATAGTTCCGTCTGGAACGACTTCTTCGGAGGTCGCGGGATCTCAACAGTTTAATAAACGTATGCCACCTAGTGGTGCAAAACGTTACTGAAACAAAAAAAGACAAGAAATTCACTTTTTGATTGTTTTACTTAGTTGTTTTATTTAGTACGAGAAACAAACAAAAAGTAACTTAATGTACTGGAAAAACACGTTGACTTTTTCAAGCATAAATAGAAAATTAATTAGAATTAATGCTTTTGGTTTTGACTAAAGCAGAGGAAAAAACTAAGGAATCTGATTGAATCAATTGATCCTCTAACGCTATGCTGATAAAAGCAACACAAACTATTCTATTAAAAGCATCTTCTACATTTTTGAATAAAGTTTAGAACAGTCATGATGGATGTTCAGTTTGCTGCCTCCATACAGACACCACCTGTCATTTCAGGTGTGGACAGGGTCAGCGAGCGTGCCCCCTGACATGTCTGCTGTTGCTGCTGAGCAGTTTGGGGTATGCCGTCCCCAGACAACGTCCCTGCCTGACGACCACCAGCTCCAGCTGACACTGGTCGATGTTGACCAGCACTGTGGTGCTCCTCTCTGTGTTCATCAGGAAGATGATGGTGAAGATGGCCATCTCAAACTCAGGGCTGGTCCCAATGAAGGCACTGCCGACGGGCTTCAGCACACCGTGCCAGCTGAACTGGAGGTTCAAAACGTGGTCATCCTGGTCAGGCTGCAGGTGGAAGCAGACATGAGATGGTGCCGACAGAGATGCGTCTCCTCCATGTGGTGAACTTACCAAGTCGTGCTCTCTGGCCTTGTATCCCTTGTAATCCAATTGGCTGTTTTTCTCTTGCAGGTAGAACTGAACCCAGTTGTGAAAGCCAATTATTTCTGTTCCAGATCTGGTTTCACCAACAAAAACGTGTTCAAACCCACAAGAGTCTGGGCTGTCACACAAACAAAATGGTTACTTATTATCGTCACAAACAAAGTGATAAAAGACTCTGACGCATTGATGTTCAGACTCCCACCCCGTGTTCCTCTGTCGGTGGTAAAGATGAAACCAGATCAAGCTCAGCTGACTCTTGAACAGCCTCAAGTCAGACCTGGACTTTCCTTTGCTCACCAGATACTGATGGGCACGCTGAGAAGAAATCACATAGATTACTCAGAAAGTTTCTCCAGTTTGAGCAAATGAACAGTTAATGTTGCAAATGATAAATAAAAGCTGCAGCTTATACCTTTCCTTTGAGGCAGTGTTTTGAAACGTTAATTTAATCAAAACGTGATGTAAAACAATTTTGTTCCCTGACTATAGAGTAAGAAACACTTTATGGGTTTAACTGGACCAGAAAAGTATTTCCTCCTAAAACAAGTACTGAAAGTTCACATTTTTCCAGTGATCCTCTTTGGGGAGCCCACTGAGGCCAACACAACATTCCACAGCTGCACACAGATGTTTCAGCTGCCTGTTTTGTTATTTTTTTCCCTTTCTTCAAACATCACGATGAGTCGAGTTTCTGCAGTGTTCAGCTGCAGCTTCAAACCACAAAATGCATGAAACGATGAGAGGTTAAAGACATCTAAGTAACAAAATCTGCAACAAGTCACCTTCATAACTTGAGTTTCTAAAACAGCATCCAGGAAGAGACTGATCTCTGTCTGCTCCTCTGTTGTGACTCGCTCCGTGATGCCTGTAGACCGCTCATAGTTGTCCAGGAGTTTCATTAAGCCTAAAAGCATAAATGTACATTTTTAACACTAAATCGTTTTAACAATCTACCAGTCACAATGAAACTCACGAGAAAAGGTGGTCATGTTTCCCAGTTTTGCTTCATTAACGTTGGAGAACAGAGGCAAAGAGGCGTGATCCTGCACCACCAGGCTGCCCTGGCTTACAAATCCTGCTCTGCCCTGGACAGGAGAGTCCCACAGTCCTCACAAATAATAATAAAAACAGATGAATGTTTACTGAGTCAGAACATCCCCACCCCCCCACCTGAACAGCGATGGTGTAGTCTATTCCAGGGTTCATCCGATTCACGTCCAAGCCCCAGAGCTCATTAAAAATGTTGGATAACTCCTGGTTCACAGCTGGTCGGTTACTGACAGAGTACAGAAACCTGATAAATACTCACATAAATATGCAAAACAAGACTAAATGTACTTAAACGTATTTTACCTTGAAGCATTCAGTTCACCGAGAAATACAGCAAGGAGCAGAAATCTGCAGAATCTGTATTTCACAAATTAAACATGTTTATTCTAATGAATACATCTGATTTTAAGTCTGAAAGGTAGCATTTAAAGTTTATATTTGAGTAAAAATACACACCTTGCAGCCATGATCCCACAGAGGTGGCTTTCCCAGCTCAGACTACAACAGATTTTTCACTCGTGTTTGACTTTAAGTCTAGTCTCTCCACCCAGATCCTCAAGTCCTTCAGGAGGCTGGATGAACAAGAACATAGCTGCAGCTTGTTTGGCCACTAGAGGGCGCACCGCTTCACGATACGATCCTTGCTTACAACTGGCTAACTTGATCATTGATCTCCTATATAATCACTAGAAAGGCATCAGAATCCAAGGTTTAATGACCCTCATCAGGCTTTAATTTATCAAGTAAAATAGGGGATGAGGGCAGAAACGAGACGGGATGAAATGAGAAGGAAAAAGAGAAATGCTAGCATTAGCAAATAAAGTAAGAAGGGTGAAACTATAAAGACAAAGAAGAGATAAGAAACTGGTGGTAAATAAACCAGAAAAACATTCGATCTTTTGTGGATTCGTATTAAAAGACAGACTGCTGCTACTAGAACGTAACTGTTTTAAATAAACTACTACAATAACAGAGAATAATTAGAACATGAAGTCCCTGCATGGAGAGTAAATTATACACGAGGACATCCCAAAATCTCTTAAATTACTTTATTGATTTTAACAGTTAAAAAAAAACCTACATGCAGAGATAAGGCTGAGACCTGAATTACACAATTTTTACTTCCTTTCATAAAACATCACATTATTATATCTCAGCCTGACATTTTTCTTAGAAATGCAACAAGCCAACAGGTTTCCAAAATCCTTCCAGGATAAAAAGAAACTTTAGTAAAATATGAGGAATTTTCAGATCATGCAAGGATATTTTCTAAGTTTCGTAGTTTGAACCATGTATATATGAAAATGTTTGAGTACATGTGAAAGTTTTTGTAAAATAATAAAATTATAAGACCATTATTGTTTAGTCGTGTAGAAAAAAAAACATAGCAGCTATCGGAGTTATTCTAACGTTTAAAAACAGGAACTTACTTTTATGAAATCTTCTCCAAAGAGCAGGCCTTTCTAACAATGTCTCTACAGTCAGAAGGCAGTTTAAAAGACATATATTAACTCTATATTGGCATTTCCCTGCTGGTTGACACTTTAGCTCCATCAGAATCAGAAAGGTTTATAAAACAAGAGTAGAAAATATCTCCAGAAACCAGCTGGCAGGCAAACAGTGGTGTTGTCCTAAATGTTCCCTCTAAGGTCAGACTGAAGGCGTTCACATGGTTTGAAACAGAGAAGACACAAGCTGTAATACTTTTGGCTCTTTGTTTGAATGGTTACACTAAAATAGCGATGCTGGCACGGAGCTGCAAACAGAGCAGGTTGGCACAGAGTTTGATTCACAGCAGAGCCAGGTCCACGGCCGCCTCACGCGTTGGACTCGTCGTCCGTTACGCTGGGGTACGGTGAATTTGACACTTCTTTGAAGAATTCGTCATCTTTTAGCATGCTCTGGATAAAACAAGAGTCACAACTTACAGCTCTTAAATCAGCACCTCTTGGCTTTTGTGCTTCTGCTTTATTCTTACTGTGAGGTTTTGAATTCCTTCGGAGAACGCACCGATCTGTCTCACTGTCCCCTCAGAGTCCTCCATCTGGAGAAACAGATGCTGAACATAAACAAACTAAGAAAACACAAACTAATGTGGATCAGATGAACTGAACCCTAAATATATCCGATATTCAGGTAGGATTGTTCCTGGAACTAGAGACTGAATGTGATTCAAGTTCACCTGCTCCAGCCTGTCCAGGTCGTCCTCGTAGATCTGAAGCTCAAAGCCTTTTTGGAAGCTCCGCCCCTTTGGCATTTCCACATCCATCGGACAAACGTACTCCTCATTTTCATCCTGCTTTTTCTTCCTCAGACTGCCAAAGTTACCAAATGGCAGTTTTCTGGGCTGGAATCAAATAACGACACCTTTAAGGTCTAAAACTTCTAATGTCAAAGGACTAAATAATGTTTCGTTCAGAACTCAATAAATCCAGCAGCAGTTAAAAACACATCATCTTTTTTCATCACATTTTAATTTGGCCTTGTTCCGGACTTGAAACAGTTTCTTGGAACAGAGCATCACCTTGACTTTTGTGGTGGCTGTGAGCAGAATGTAGTCCGGGTTTTCCAGACACTCTTGTTTGAGCTGCTGAGCTTCTGAACCGATCAGCAAACTAAAATGCGTAGCGAGGTGTCGACGCAGCAGAGTCTTGTTGGGCGGAATGTTCAGCAGCTGAGCCATGGTTTCCACGTTGAATCGTGGCTCCAGAACCTGAACAGAAGTCAAACTTTTTTTTAGGAGCTGATCCTTTTGAGGAGAGAAAACAGAAACCTGGTTTTCTCACCATGAGGCCTCCGTGGACACCGCTGCCTCTCAGGTTGGGAGCGTATTCAGCAAGGTCTACAGACCGAAGCCACTCCATCACCCTGTGGTTGGTCCACTGGGAAATCTCCGCAGGTGAAATGTTGTTCTACAGACAAAAAAGTACAGCGAGAGTATTAATTAAGCTTAAATGGTTATAATCCATGAAACTGTATTTAAACTTTAATGTTTCCATGAACTGCATATTTTCTGTTTCTGTTGCAGTTTAAATATTACAAAACCAAGTCAGGCAACTGTTAACAGGTTCCGGAAAGTCAGAACTAAAGTTAAATATTTGCTGGAAAAGCACATTTTTAATTTGAGCCTGGTTGTAGGAGCATAAACCCGCCTACACCGTCTATCTCGGGTGGTCGTAATTATAAGGCTGATTTTGTGTAACTGTTGCAGAAACTTTGCAGCGTTTTCTGATCATCAACATCATCATTATTCACACCTCCAGCTGTCCCTTAACTGGACCACGAGAAGAAACCGGAACAAACCTCGTCCGATGGCCTGCGACGCAAACAGTTTGGGTCGTAGCTGTTGAGTCGAAGAACTTGAATCGCTCTCTTGATACTGAGGTGATGTAGGACACTCCCCACCTTCAGAGAAAGCAGGTCATCCTGAAAGAGGCAGCAATCAAAGATTAGTCATCGTAGAGCGGTGTTTAGAAAGAAAAGTTCAACCAGAACCATCAGCTGCAGAAATCAGGTCATTTCCTGTGGAGCTCATCTGATGCTAAATGCTATGTTTCTACACTCAAGATACAGCAGAAGTAATCAGATTACTCAACCAGGTGTGTAAAAACACTCACCACAGTCATGTAGTGCAGCACGCGACCATCCACTCTGCCCTCATCAAACTGGGTCTTATACTGAGGGAGGCCTATGTCATCCAGCCACCCTGAGAGGAACCATCGAATAAAATCCAAAATAAGCTGGACAAACCTTCAAAACAACTGTTAAATGTCCTTAATTTACAAAAAGATTTGGTAACAAGTACTCACTTGTCACCCAGTTGTAGTCCAGCTTTCCCTTATTATCCTCCTCTTCTGAGCCGAGGGCCTGCAGAGCCAGCTGCAGCTTCTTTCTGTGCAGCGGGTGTTTAATGCCCAGCTCCTATTCATCCACATGGCAGACAAGCGATAATTACACCCCGCATGGTGAGCGTTAGAAAACCGCTTTGCTGACTTGTAGCATCTCACCTTCTCCAGGTCTTGTTGTGAAGCCTGCAGAAGGGTCTGCCCAGATGAGATCCACACACGAGCCATGTTCACGTAAAGGCCGAGACCCTGCTCCTGCAGCCAATCACAAACCTGATCCTTTGACCATCGAGCAAATGGAGCGTCTACTTCACTGAAAAAACGGATGACAAAAATTTTTAAACAGCTCCATGTCTGCAGGTTCGTCCTTAGCAACTTACAAAAACACAGATATGAGATCATCATTATTACTGAGACTTTTGTGTCTTTGTCATCCCTACAAAGGCTGTTCTTGTCAAACGCTTTTCATTATCGCCCATAGTCGTTGTTGAACAGAGATTCAAAACACAGAAACCACATTCTGGCTTCCATTATTCAGGCTGAATGCACAGACTCACTTGTTGACTCGCTGGAGATCACGAGACCAGCCCAGTCTGGGTCCTGCTGTGGCTCGGACTCCACCCCGCTTGAACTCTCCCTCTGGCAAGTTGTCATCCAGGTTAAATGTGGTGGACTGGCTCCTTTTGAGCCTTAAACGATACATTTAGATTTTGAAATTAAAACAACCTCACGGTAGTCTCTTAATAGTACATAGTTCATTTTAGTACGATTTCGACTCACTTTCCAAAGAATTTCTTTATTCCTTTGGACTTCTTCCTGTTTTCCAGAGTTGTAGGAAGTGTGTGTGTGCTGTCACTGTTTGGTGACCTCTGTGGCATCCCGGCCAGATTCAAATGGTCGGTGCCTTGCAGTTCTGTTTGAGCTGTATAATCAAATTCCCACACAACATCCTCGTGAGAATCGATGGTGAGAGACGTGAACAGACTGGTAGAGATGCAGTTAAAGCACACAGGCGGCGCAGTGTGCCAGAAAGCACTGTGCAACACATGACGACTCTGAGACAAGCACAGACTGAGAGGTCATGGCGTGTGTGTGTGTGTGTGTGTGTGTGTGTGTGGTATGCATGCTGATGTTTGACCTAGGCTGCATTAACACACGTTTTAATCATTAGTTGTTTTACTTAAAACTTTTAAACGGACATTTTAAGCTCCAAACCTGGATCCTAACACAGATTTGGGTTTGTGTAAGGCTTTAATAGACAAAGGTGCATTCTATACATGCAGACACACAGGTGTCTCAACACACAGCACAAGGACTGTATGTTGAGCAGGCTTTTGTGCAGCAAAGCACAGAGATGACGTGAAGGAAAGCATTCAGATACTAAATCATTACCTAAAAAGGTTAGAATGAGTTTAGAAAAGCATCAAGAGAACAAAGAAACAGCTGGTAGTTTCCTTTGTTTTTGTTGGAGAACTACAGCAACCTTTCAGGACATGTAGTCATTACTGTACCTAGCATAGGCGCACTTGCACTCCTGCTGCGGTCTTCATGTGTTACAAAAATACACACGACAGCGTCCAACAGAAGAACAAGACAAGAGGGCAGAAATTATGATTGAAATAATAACGGTTTTGGAGGCGAGACAGAGACACAAACGGAAAGGACACGGAGGAGACAAAGGGCACACGCTATCATGGAAACAGACCTCCATATTTAACCATGAATCACAGTTTATGTGGGCTGTAAATTATAATCCTGGCCCGTATGGGTGTGGTTTAGAGGGAAAATGAGTGGTTAAGGGTGGAAGAAAAATATCCCAAAGAAAATCTCTCACTGAACAAGTGAACATCTCTACGTCTTACTGATGACAACGTGATAAATATGAAACCAAACTGCGCCGTCTTACCGAGGTTGGGGCTGTTGGATGTCTTCTTGCCTCCGCGGATCTTAAAGAAACCTTTTCCAAAGGATGAGCGAGCTTTCCTGGAGCCAAAGCTGTCCTCTTCTGAGGAGGCAGGCAAGGTGGCAGATGGATTCAGAGGTGGCTTTTCACTCGCCTTGTCTTTATCTGAACACTGAAAAACACAAAACATAAAAGTTACATATTGACTCAATATCAATATACGAGCATTGGTCTGCCCCCCCATTTACCTTCTCAACCTTGCTTTCCTCCAGATCCACCTGGGCCTCAGTTTTAGTCACAACTTGGCTTCTAAAAGGAGATAAAAACAGGACTTTGCACAACAAAATAATGGTAAACGGTTTAGCCGACAGAAAATCTTGCAGCTAGAGCTTCATTATAACAATTTAGCATCTCTCTAATGCTGACCGGTCAAATCAAAAGTAAATGCATTAGACTTTAAACATCGTTTCACTTTTCCTTTTTGTTGTAAAACTGACAAAAGTAAATAAATTTGCATTGTTTGTTTCCTCAATAATCATTTTAACAGTTATGATTACTTTGAGCTGACCTAATTTTGTAAGTACTGCCCTTTCCTGCTTTCATGATGAGTGAAGCTCTGCCTCAAATGGTCTGATTTCCTGTCACTTGAATGCACAATACCGCGTCTCATACTAATGAAGAGACACTATTGTATTTGTGGTGATCTGGAATGCGACGGGAAACTCTGTGAGGCAATGAGATGTTTATGTCAAACATGCTGCACGAGTGTGCCAGCTAGTCTCATCACCCTTATCAAAAACTCCAAACAGCATAAACACCAAATTCATGGTTAGAATTCTGTTTCCTTATTTGATTAATTTACGTACATATGGGTAGAAGTAATAACATGTGCCACAACAACTTTATTCAAACAAGAAAAAAGCAGCAAAAATAAAATGTAATTTTTAAAATATTTTACTTTTCCACATTTGTTGACGCATGCTCAGAAATTTGCTCTGGATCAGGAGGGCTGGGAGCAGGAGAAGGCTCTTCACTCAGTCCACTGAGACTTTCCAACTATAAATAGATCAGGAGAAAACAGATTATGTTTTTAACATCCAGCTAAATGTTGTGTTAAGCCATTACAACTGTCTAAATCTGAAGAAACATTCAGAAAGGGCGGATGCATTTCATTGAGTGACCAGATTTTTCACATTGAAACTTGTTCATTTGAATCTGACGCTTTACTAAAAACAGGGTATCTGCAGGTTTAAGGGAGCCAAATTTAAGACTTTTAAGACATTTTTTAAGGCCACTTTGACCAAATTTAAGCTATTTTTAAAATTAAGTTTAAGCTATAATTTCCAGCTATTGCCTGGAACCGGTGCTTACCACGTCGCGAACGTGGGATTTGCCATCCAGTTACCATTAAACAAACACGTTCTCACACCCAAGGCATCAAAATATGATGCGTGTGAACAAGCCTCACTATATGATGATTCGGGACGCCCCAGCGCGTCAGGAGACGAAGATCAGGGACACGTGGCTCCGCTGGCATCACTGTTTGACGAGCGCGGTCACACGGACAATATTCGACTATTTAACCTTCCCCTCACCCCAATCCTAACCTTAAGGTCCATAAACTGTGACCTTAAGGTTATGATTGGGGTGAGGGGAAGGTTAAGTAGTTCTAATGTCCGTCTCAGCACCAGCGTCGGATACCGACACTCTGGGACACTGCGTCACCAGTTTGTCCCTGATCGTCGTCTTCTGACGCGCTGGTGCGTCCCGAATCGCCATATATTGAGGCTTGGTCACATGCGTCATATTTTGACAACTTGGGTGTGAGAATGTGTTGACTAAACTTCCACTTCCCCATGGCGCAAGCTCCCACTAGCTCAACCAGCTAATGTGCTAATCTAAAAATAGCCCCCTTTCACAACCAACTGAATGTGTACTTTTCCGCTTACGCCAACATCGTACACAAAAAATGCTGAACACCAACTAGAAAATCACAAATTTTAAAGAAATAAAAGAATCTTGCTTATTGGGTCTTTGGTAATTTAAGACCTTTGTACACTGTATTTAAGGATTATTTGTCATTTTTAAGGATTTTTAGGGCCTTAAATTTAGAAAAGCAAATTTTTAAGGACCCGCAGATACCCTGTAAAAATACTCAACATTTTTTACTCGGCGAGTTTAATGACTAAATCTGATTGATGTGGAAAAACACACAAAACCTACTGATTAACGATTATTTTTAAGACATACTGTGGCTTGAATTTAGTCTTTTCAAAAAAGCTAACAAATGCAAATTATACTATTGCGTTATATTTTAATTTACTGACCTCATCCAGCCTCTTTGGTTTTAGCTCTTCAAAATCTGAAACTTCCTGTTTTTCAGACTCCACAGATCCAAAGATGGAGGAGAAGACTGAACTGGATCCATCAGTGGGACTCTCACCACACTCATTATCTTTTGTTTTCTCTGGTATGAAAGGATAACGAGATCAAAGAAGAAATCGTGTGGCGTGTAAAACTTTAGCTCACTAGACAGATATCATCTAAAGCCATTATTTATGACCCATTCTTCAAACACAATAAACAAATTACAAGTTTGTGCAAGTTGAGAAGCAGAATTCAAACAACTGGAGAAATAATAGAAAAATATAAAGCTTGCACTTGTGAACGCTACATATATGTGTCTGCTACTCTACAGTAGTCTGACCTTTCTTTCCTTGTACAGACATCACCATGTCCTGAACTTTCTTGTACCGAAGAAGTGACTGCTTCAGCTCCTCAATCTTTCGATCCTACAAAATAAAAGTCAGACTCATAAAATTAGGCTCAGTTCCCAGGAAGAGATCTGAATAATCTGGTGAGGGTAAAACGTCAAAAGTACCTTTTCTTCATTCGCCGCCATCAACGACTCAACTGCTTTTTTCATTCTTTGCACTTCCACATCTAGTGAGGACAGAATAAAGTGATAATCAAAGAAAGCTTTGTAAAAAAAAAATCAACTGTGGGAGGAATAAAAAGCGTAATCGCAGGGTGAAGGTGGAAATGTAAATACATTTATGTTACTTCCATTCCAGTGTCATCCATACCATAACACAATATATTTGTGTAAGGAAAGATTATAACCTCTGTTAGAACATTCTCAGTTTTCAGATCACACACTCTGGTGCAAGGTTGTTCAAGCAGTTCACCTACTTTAGCTTATTATTTAGTCCATAAACAAAAGGCTTTTCAGTAAAACAACCATTGGACTCATTAAGACATTAATTTAAATGAGAAACAGGTATTATCATATAATGAACACGCATTACATGGTTCTTGTCTGGAAACATTATGTTATGCACACATTCTGAGCCTCCAACACCAAAAATGTGTTCTATGAGAGCCTAGAATTGGTTTCTGAGTAATCTGAGGAAGTTAAAATATAAACCAGTTCCAAATGGGGCAAACTGTAGATGGAGATGCTGTCATGTAGTGGTTTTGTCTGAACACCGAGGTAAAATGACGAAAGGGAAATCACGGGAAACTTAAAGCATCCACAGAGAATCTACGACTGTTTACCAGAGATAAAGAATATTTAAACACACGAGCTCAGACACGATCAAACAGGAGTTAGGGAACAGATGGTAACGTCCAAAATCTACTAAACTGAATGTGTTCAGACTTTTGCTGAAGGAGTGTGTGCATACACTGAAAAATGAAATGGTTCCTTACACCTAAATTCATTAAACAGGACAAGCACAACTCTACTAACTCTACCAGTCAGATAACGAACAAGAAGAAAGTACAGGTTAACAGGGCAGGCACGCACGCACGCGTTGGTGCCAACCAGGTAAAGTTTAGAAGACTTTATCATCATCAGGAGGTGATTCTTGCTGGAAAACACGAGTCAGGAAGATGAGTGGATAGCTTCAGTGGTTAAGACAACACTTCATTCCACATTCCTGTAGAAAACATGAAGCCAACAGCCTGTGTTGCTGTTTTAGGCTGGTTGTTAAAACACAGTGAAGAGGGGTCAAAAAGGCCTTGCTCTGTTATAAAAAACAAACAAGTTCAGTGGTTTGTTCATGATCTAGTTCTGTGTTATTAGCATTTGGATGAGTAACGATGGACAAGCAGAGTTCAGGTGGCTCATGCTCGTTCATGCAAACAGGTAGAAAGGGGTGTAGTAATGAACACAAGCAGAACCCCACCCCCTTACGTTTTTCTTTCAGCCTTTTTCTTAACGTTTCATCGGGATGAGAGACTAAACGGGACAAAAAATGAACAAACACTGTTGAGATTAAACTGGAGGCATGCTTGATTTCTGTGATCAGCCACATTTCCCACCTCTCTCTAGGGAATCCGCATTGCTCATGGCGATGGATTTGAAGCCCGTCTCACTCTGTAGTCTTCTCATCTCACCATCTTTGCCCTCCAGCTGCCTTCTCAGTAAAGTTAGCTCCTCCTGTCCCACACAAGACAACAGTGAGAGCATTTTCCCCACAAAGGCATCACCTCCCCCACCCTGACTTAACATAAACCAAAACACAAAGGTTCACAGATGCCGACGCTGTGTTTGAAGCCTGCAGGCCACACCTGCTGGAAGTGTAGTGTGTGTGAGGCGGGTGGCATGCACAGATGTCTTCCAGGGCTGAGGAAAAACCAAAACATCAGCAAAATATAAAGGTGTAAGAAACCAGAGCAGAAATCAAGGACAGAGACAAACATTTAAAGGTAAAAAGAGGAGCAGAAAAAGGAAAACAGATTAACAAGTGTGAAAAGGTGGTGAAAAATAATCCCACATTTTGGGAAGCAAGAACCTAGAATTAAAGCATACCTGTGGTTTGAAACACGTGTTTGCAGAATAAGTGCTTTGTTGGTGTGAGGAAGTGGTATTTCTAATTGCACTTGACTTTTTATTTTATCTTTGTATCGCAATGTTTTATAAATTAAGTTAATTTATTCTGCAAAAAATCGAACCACGATGCAAATATGTAGTTTAAGACGGCAGAGCCAACAGATTTATTTTAGGTTTTTGTTATTAAACGAAAGACCACAATCCACAATCATACAGCAAACACAACAACCATCCAGAGAAAATCCAACCTTTACAACCTGAAGTTTGTGCTCTTTCCTCTGTTTCCCAAACTTCAGCTAGCCCGTTCTGAGTTTCATACTAGAAAGCTTAGCCATTAGGGACTTGGCAGTAGAGAACCAGCCGCAGGATGAAAGAAATTTATAGAAAAAGTCAGGAGGTCAAGAAAAAAGGAATGTTAAAATTTTAAAGCCATAATCTCATTTTATGTTTATGTATTTAGCAGACGCTTTTGTCCAAAGCGACTTACAAGTGATAATCGGCATGTTGCCCTTGAGGCTAACAACAACAATAACAACAACAACAACAACCAATTTCCAGTCAGTCGTAGGTGGCAGTGAGGCAGCATGATGAATCATGGAGAGGAGGGAACAAGGAGTGGACAGTAGAGAGGGGGACGCATGCAGGGAGGGTGCTAGTTAAGAAGATGCTCTCTGAAGAGCAGGGTCTTCAGGAGTTTCTTGAAAATTGAAAAGGAAGCCCCTGTTCTGGTAGTGCTTGGTAGGTCATTCCACATTTGTGGAACGATGCATGAGAAGAGTCTGGATTGTCCCGAGCGTGGTGTAGGCACTACTAGCCGACGATCCTGTGATGACCGGAGCGGCCGGGCCGAGACGTAAGCCTTTGCAAGAGGATTCAGGTAGATGGGAGTCGTAGCATCTCGGACTTTGTATGCTAGTGTTAGCAATTTGAATTTGATGCGTGCTGCTAGCGGTAGCCAGTGTAGCTCAATGAACAGAGGGGTGACGTGTGCTCTTTTTGGCCGATTGAAGACCAGACGCGCCGCTGCGTTCTGGACCATTTGAGGAGGTCTCACAGTACAGCCTGGAAGACCAGTTAGAAGGGCATTGCAGTAATCGAGGCGGGAGATGACAGTAGATTGCACCAGGAGCTGGGTGGCACGCTGTGTTAGGTATGGTCTGATCTTTCGTATGTTATACAGCGCAAAGCGGCATGAACGAGCAACAGAGGCAACATGGTCTTTAAAGGTCAGGTGTTCATCAATCACAACACCCAGATTTCGAACTGCCTTTGAAGGAGCCAGAGATAGGAAGTCATTTTGGATTGAGATATTGTGCTGTATGGATGGTTTTGCTGGGATGACAAGTAGTTCAGTTTTAGAGAGGTTGAGTTGGAGATGGTGGGATTTCGTCCATCTTGATATGTCAGAGAGACAGTTTGATATTCGTGCAGAGACAGTGTGGTCATCCGGTGGAAATGACAGATAGAGCTGGGTGTCGTCTGCATAGCAGTGGTAGGATAAGCCATGTGATCGAATGATCTCACCCAGTGAGGTGGTGTATATGGCAAAGAGAAGAGGTCCTAGTACAGAGCCCTGGGGGACTCCTGTGGCAAGATGGTGCACGGTAGAGGATTGTCCAAGCCAAGATACACTGAATGATCATCCTGTGAGGTACAATTCAAACCAGGCGTGCCTTCTCTGTGATGCCCATGCTAGAGAGTGTGGACAAAAGGAAGCCATGGTTGACAGTGTCAAATGCAGCCGATAAGTCGAGCAAGATAAGCACTGAGGATTTGGCAGTTGCTCTAGCTTCTTTTAAGGATTCCGTCACTGCTAACAGAGCAGTTTCAGTGGAGTGGCCCTTTTTGAACCCAGATTGGTAAGGGTCAAGCAGACAGTTTTGTGGGAGGTATTCTGTGATCTGCTTGAAAGCCACCCTTTCAATGATTTTGGACAGAAAAGATTTTAAAGCACACACATTTAGAGACTGTGTGGTAAAACTGGGAAAATACAAAAACACTAAGTCTCAACATGAAAACACACATGTGTTACTTTGATGTTTTATGAACAAAGATCAAGTGGAGACACTGAATCTGGTCGGATAAGAATTCCTGAAATAGACTGAACCCTCATCACAGTGGGTTTTTAACAGAAGTAAAGAACGATTTTTTATTTGTCCCATACTAAAATATAGGTTAAAGACACAAAGTAATATGTCTTTGAGGCAAAAATGACCTAAAAGTGTAGAAAACTCATGTTGCGAATGACCGCAGTCACCAATTCTTGTTATTTGTCTTACCCACGTATGTCTGATCTTTGAATTGTGTGTGCTGAAACTGAATTTCATTTCTCTGTATGTCCTGCACATGTGGAGAATATGACAATAAATGACTTTGAATCTTTGAATCATTTTTTGTATTTAGGTAGAGAAAAAGTGCCCAAATTATTTACAAATAAAGTTTTGCACAAAGAGAACTTGAGACAGCAAAGAGTCCTTTGAGAACTCACCTTTGTGGATTTGAGTTTCTTTTCGTATTGTAATTTTTCACTCTCCAGGTCAGTCAGTCTGTACCGCAGTTCATTAATTTCAAGAATCAAATCCTACAAAAGAAAAGCGAATATCACTGAGAGCTCAGAAGACTTTCAAATTTGACAATCTTCACTTGCTTTTTTTGAAGACGCTCCATTGTAGCAGCTTTCAGGTAAAACTGGAGCTAAAAATAGATTTGTCTGCTTATAGCTCACAAATCAGGAAATCTTTTGTTGATGAAATATGCAAAACCGATATGATGCAGTCTAGACAAACTCCATAAGCTATCCCAGATGTGTTTGGGGAAACTCTTCAGAGAGTAAAAGCTGCAAAGCCGCAACAGCAGCAGAGATAAAATGAGAGGAAGCTGTGATTTATGTGCTGTGAGGAGGAACACAGACAGCAGCTTTTTTTGTTCCAGCGGGGTGGAAGAGACAACTGCGCTGCTGCAACAACAATAACACGACATGTTTGAAAGCCTTCCAAGCACTTGGCATGGTTCATCTGGGACTAAATATCTCCTCATCTCCCATAAACAACTTTCTATTCATGCATGCATGGTAGCAAACTGAAATGAGGTGATGTATAAATAAAAATACCCGAACCATACAGATTTTAATCTACTATCACAAGAACCGCTGAAGGTATTTCTCCAGTGGGCTCTCAGCTAATCTCAAAATTTTGCAGCTAAACAAAAACCTCTGTAAGAATAAACATTGCTCACACAGATTTTAAACAACAAGAATAAGGAGCTAACATACGTCACTGTCCCTGAACCTCTCATCGAAGTTCATCCTCTCCTTCTCCATAGCGTTGAGTTTCAGCTTGAGGTTGGACACTTCAGACATCAGTTCAAGCTTCTGAGTCTCCAGTGAGGTTCTGCACAAAAGCTCCTGGTAAATGATAAAGACCAAGAAGACAGATTTAATTAACCAAATATAAAAGCATTTGTGGATTTTATTGCTGATGGAACAGTAAAACTCAAGTCCAGTTGCATATGCAAGATATTTGTTTTGAATTTAGAATCTGTGTTGTTAGTAAAACCACTCTGTTTTATTAAGAAAGCATTTAGTTATTAAAGGATTAAGACTGTAAATATATGGCTAACAAACAACCACACTGATGTTACTAAATAATCAGCATTTTCATGTAAATTATATCAGCCCTTTAAGATTTTACTTCCATAAATGCACAAACAGTGTCGGTTAAACGTCAGAGCCAACTTCCTACATGGACATCACATCTTTTACCGTTACTTGGTTCTTGTGAGACAAGTTTAACTTTAGGCAAGGCAGTTTTATTTATATAGCACATTTCATACACAGAAGTAATGAAACTTTAGCATTATTCTATAAACATGAACAGACACACACCTGCTGCAACATCTCCTCAGTTGCGTTGAGTTTCTCTCTATGCTCTTCCAAACACAAGTCTAAATCTCGGATCTTCTCTCCCTGAGCCTCCACCTGGTCCGTCAGCACACTCACCTGCACACAACCAAGATGTGATGGCGTGTTTAGACAAAAGCACTCCTACAGTAATATAACACTCATGCAGTGATATAACAGTGAAACACACAAGCTGATTTACAGATGTGACTAGACATCGGTCAATGCATGCATGCTATGTGAAAAGTTTCAGTTCAAGTTAACAGTCTTCATGATGCAATGTCATAAATGCTAAGAAACAGATTTATCAGGCACAACATGGACCAAGAATTACAAATGGAGAGAAAGCTAATTGTATTTGTTTTATGTATTCTATAAAAATACTGGTATTGCGGGCTTGGTGTGGGAAATGGTGACAAATCAGACCAACGTATTTTAAAATCTAATGCATTCACAATAAATCAAGGCAGCTGCAGTATTTTATTCATTTTAGTCTGTACACTTTTATGCATTTAAAAAAACATTTGATATCAAATTGTGCTGATGAGAGGGGGTAGAACAGTACCTGAAGCACCAGAGACTCTTTATCGCTCTCTAGTCGTGACAGCCTTTCCTGGTAGTGGTCACCCCCACCCAGAGAGATGTGTCCATTTGACTGCAGGAAAGGGAAGAAGGAAAAAAAAACAGTTTAGTCCTTTAATCATCATTACCTTCTCGAGGGTTTAATCTGTCTATTAATAATCTAAGATTATTCTTTGTAATTTAACTGACTGATTCAACTGCTCTGAACAAATAAAACCTTACATGGTTAAATAAATGCTGGCTCACATTCAGACAGCTGTGCAGGGAGCGAGTTACAGCATTACACAAAAACTCTCCATGGCCTACGGCCCTTCACCCTCCCAAGAACAACTCTGATTCACAAACTGTGCGTTTCTTGCTGAAACCTTGCTTTGACATCAACATGGGTAATACATCCTTCTTTCACAGGGAACACAGCAGAGTAGGACAACTGTGATTGCTCTCAGCAAACAAATAAGTTGTACAAAAATGTAAAAAAAATTCTTGCACAGGCAGTTGTGCATTCATAAAATAATAAAATAAAATAAAAACTGTGTTACAGGTATAGTGGCGGATCTTTCTCTTCCGGGTGGATCATCTGAACCATCGGTTCACATAAGATGCAAAGGTTTGGCCCCCCACGCCTCAATCGTCAATTTTCTACTTGACAAGTCAGCTAAAGTTCGCCATGCTATTTGGAGAAATTTATTTCAGACTACGACTAGAAGTTGGCTGCAAGGCCAGCAGCTACTTGTAAACAGAGCGTGCAAAAGGATAACTGGGCGTTCTCTCTCAAGTGCATTTTTTTTTTCAAAACATGAAGAGGGCGGTTCTTTCCTGAAATTCAGAAACATCCTTCGCCATACCTTTAAAGTCTAAAACGCTAAGATGCACATTTCTGTCAGTCACATTTACACAACTTTATTATGCAATTTTTTGGTACTGTGCCATAATCTAGATAACAACAAGAGTGCTGTGTCCTTTAGGTAAATCTTCAGATAACAGTAAACAGATATGTTATGGGGATAGACTAGTTAGAGGAGAAAGGGGCCAGAGATCATTGCAAAAACTCTTTGATCTATTGTTCATAAACATCCTGTAAGTGTCATCATTAAGCAATGAGTAAATCTCATTCTTCAGGAGGTTACCAAGTCTTACCAGGTGACCATGAAGCCACTCAACCATACTGTCAGCTGTGGATTCTGGGATTTGGCAGCGTAAACTTTCTCTTTCCTCGGTGTCCATCATTTCCAGGACACTCCTTAGGTCTTCCAGAAGGTGAAGAGCCCGCAAGCTACCCATAAAAGGGGACGTGGGCGACTGACAGTCAAATAAACCATTAGAATAGTCCAAGGTCTTCGAGCCTGAGTGCACAGCAGAAGAGAGAAAGTGAGGGAGTGATAAACTTAATAGGCAATGAAATAGTTTGTGGCTTAGTATCTTAAAAGGACTAAAACACACACATCTTATTATAATTCACTGTGGCAAAACCTACAAATCCTTAATCAGCATTTACATATTTTAGCCATAATATATTGAGCCTTTTAAAGGTTTCACACATCTAAAAAAGCATAAAAACATGACTACCTTGAGAGTTGTACTTACCTAGATTTCACATACAAAAGTCATGATATTTAATGCAGAGGTGAAGCATGTTACCTGCTATTATGCCATCCATCTGCTCCAAGGCAGCAGCCAACATGTCGCTGGCATCAGACATCATCTTGAGTCACTGACGAATCTGCAGACACACACAAAAAAAAAAAAACAATTAACTCAGAGAATTAAACATTTTTTAAATCATAATTAATGCATCTCCATCTGACATATTTTGATCCAATTTTAATATTTTAATGACCTTAGGTAATTAAAAACACACTGTGCAGCCGCTGGTATGCGAGCTTGTGATACAGCTACATGGACAAATTTAGCAAAGCAATTACAGAGCTGCTGAGATTCCTGGTCAGAACACAGCAGTAACCTTGGCATTGAAAGTATCTTTACAAAAAATGTTACCACCCTGGCATTAGGTTGTTGTTCATCCTCTAAGGGGAGACGTCTGGCTGGTAAAATGACATGCTTGTCAATTTGTCAGGAATTTTAAATTAAAGTTTGCAAATTTCATCTTAACATATGATATTCTGACAGTGGGACTTTTTTTAAACTGTTTTTTTCTTTCAGCTCAATGCTACAAATCCAATTTGTTCTGAGAAAAATAAACAATTTATTTCTAAATATCAATCTGACCATTTACCTAAGCATTTAGCACAGAGTATTTTGTGTGTTGCACACAGGACACTTTGTTTGGAGGAGTGTGAAGATAGACATAAGCGTCTCAGTCTGGGACATCTGCTCCAAGGACAACAGTCCCTTTTTCTTCATATATTTAATCAAACACCTCTTGTGTGTACACACACACACACTCACACACACCTCTTCCTTCAATCGCTGCCTCAAATCCTGGGAGTGCCCAACATTTTCAAGTTTTATAGAAACCACCCACAGACCCAGGACTGTTATTTCAGCATTTCTGTGGTAACATTTTCCATTATGTGTAAAATAAGCACGCAGTGAAGCACAAGCTTCGTCACAACATGCAGCAGGGGGAGATGAGAGGAGAGGAACCAGCATGCCACACTAAACTGCTAAAAAGTTTCCAAAAAGAGCGTACCTACTTTTTGTTTACTCTTATTATATGAAACAAACCAAGTTGATGCAGAAACCTATCATATTGGTTTCATGACCCTAAAATTTCTAAATTACAAAAAAAACTCTGATTATTGAATTTTCCTTTTTGTTTATTCGCAGAGAATAATGTTTTAGATTTGGACCTCAACCTTTTGCTGCAAATCTCAAACATCTTGAGCACAAATTTTGTCAAAAATATTTCTAATAAAATCACATACTATCAGACTGTTGTAGAGTCTAGCTTTGCAGTTAAATTCAGAAGATTTGTGCCAAAGTCGGAATTAGCAAAATATTAGCTGGTTAGCACTTCGACATAAAAAGCTGGATGCACAGAACTCACTTCTTCCCCAGCAGGATCTATTTAACCTTTAACCTGATGAATTGATAGAGAACTCATTTTCGTTTACAACGACGATTTGGCCAAGAGGCAGCAGCAACAGACACGCAGTAAGCTTTACACCAAAGAAAAGCAGATAAGATAAAAACATACAAGATAAAAACAGACATAAAGATATATTTCAAATATAATATGTACTCGCAATCAAAACAGACTTAAAACAATCTTTTAAGTACTCAGAAGCAGGTTCTTTGATCAGAAACTATTGATTGCAATAAATTATTGAAGGTAGATAATGGAATGTAGGTAGTGAGCTTCAGTGATTTATGCAGCTCATTCTAGTTGTTGGAAGCAGCAAACTGGAATGAGGAGCAACCAAAGGAGGTGCGAGCTTTGGGAATAACCACAGAGATTAGGTTACTGGAACTTAAATTGTGATGTTTGTTGGACGTGATGAGTAATGAGCGAAGATATGATGGCGCTCTACCGATGATTGTTTTGTATATAAATCGATGCCAATGTAACAACCTGTGGGAATGGAGTGATGGTCACGGTGAGCTGGTGTCTAACATGTCTGTAGGTAGGGACACACGCTCCGGTCGGTAACAAGATGGCGCCTGTGCTTGGCTTAGCCGCAGTCACCGGCCACTTTTTCAAACTTTTCTCCACTAACCTCCTCTTTTCCACCTTGCTTCTGTCTGCGATCCTCTTCAGTAGTGTCCCTGCTACCATCTCCTATGATCGCCAGACTGTTTTGTCCTTCCGTTTGTTCACGATCACCCAAGATGCACTGAGCACGTACCTCCCTGTTTGTTTATCTGAGTGGCACACTGGCCCGGAGCCAAACGACGATTCCAACCAGGGCGCCTCAGCGATGTTTATCCGGTCCCGGGGAAACATGGGAGGAAAAGAGGTAAAGGAGCAGGAATCCAGGTGAGAATGAGACTTCTCTTAAAGCGTGGTTTATCTAGTAAACATCGGCGTGATTTTCTAGCTTCTTGTCCTTTGTTTGGCGACTTGAGCGCCACTTCTGCATTCCCGCCAGGCCGCATTGCAGCGCGGTTCATCCATCCAAGTTTTTTAAGGTCGGTTTATCCTCATTCCTCAGTGGTTTCTCCTCCTCTTCCCTACATAAGTGGTTTTTAATAAACACCATGGATCTAACCCTATTAATTTACGTCCACTAACTCGAGCTGTCTCTGTAGTTTCTGATTCCTCCACCTCACTCAGCATGGCTCTATTAAATACCCGCTCTGTTAACAATAAGTCCTTCCTGCTCAGTGATCTAATTCTCTCTAAAAACCTGGATTTTCTGTTTCTGATTGAAGTTTAGCAGCAAACATCTGATTATTCTGGTCTGACTGAACTCTGCCCGAGTGGTTATTCTTTTCTTAGCCAGCCCCGGGGTTCTGGTTGTGGTGGAGGCCTAGCTGTTGTTTTCAGAGACCATCTTCCATATAGTTCTACAACCTCTGGTCGCTTTGCTTCCTTTGAACTGCAGCTGATTAAAGTCGGGCGTAAGGACCAAGCCCCCACAATGCGGCTCAGAAAGTGATCTCAACCCAAAAGTACCAAAAATTGCAGTTCCACCCTCATCCGCTGGGGGCTGGTGTCAGATGCGAGCAAATCCTCATTGACTCCCATGTTAAAAATACCAATTTCACAGCAGAAATAAACATGTTTACAGCCTGGTACCAAAACATGTTTTTTTGTTTAAATTATCTAGTTTACACTCATGACAACTCAGAGGGGGGTGAATTTTTTTCTCACTCTTCTGTTTAAGTGTATTAAAAGCCTAAAATTCTGTATAATTAATGAGCATCCGACCCACGTGACCGCCGCCTCAGACCCACATGACCACAGAGCTAGCTCCGTGGAAAGGCCTCAGTAGAGCCTCGGTCTGGCTTGGAAACTGCTCCGGGATTTTGAGTCTCTGTGTTTGTGTATTCTTTTTAGGATATTATTTGTGCAATTGTTGGACAAAATGACTTGCTGTGGCATTAATTGCACTAATAGAGCGTCCAAGGAGTCTCCACTTCATTTTTTTCGGTAAGTAAAATTATATTTATGTATTTTAGGTCACTGCCGAGCTGAGCTTAGATTTTAACAAGTACTGTTTAACCATGAAATTTAAATGTAATAGGGTAAAACCCAGTGCATTTAACATAATGCTGCACTTAGAAAATGGGTTGAAATATAACATGTTGGTGGAGCTGGGTTCCGACTATCGGGCTTGTGGAGCTCTCGGGAGACCTCTGTTTTCCACCCGTTCTCGCCTCCCGGCAGCTCGGCGCATCTCTGTCTGATCGCGGCTTCTGTGTGCTGTGCGGGCTGATGGCTGGGTCTTCCGGCAGCTTGGTGCATCTCTGTCTGATTGCGGCTTCTGTGTGCTGTGCGGGCTGATGGCTGGGTCTTCCGGCAGCTCGGCGCATCTCTGTCTGATCGCGGCTTCTGTGCGCTGCGCGGGCTGACGGCTTGTGGAGCTCTGGGATGGACATCTTTCCACCCGGTTCTCCCCAGCGGCAGCTCTGCGCATCTCAGGTCACAGCGGCGCTTGTCTGCTATACGGCTGCTGGCTCGTGGAGGTCTCGGAGACCTCTGTGGAGGTCTCGGAGACCTCTGTGTTCCACCCGGTTTTACCCAGCGGTCAGCCCGGCGTATCTCTGACTCAGAAGCTCTGGTGTTGTGCACAGTTAACTCCAGTTGTAGCTAGGTTGCTACCTCCGTTAGCTTAGCTCCCACCTCCGCATTAGCTTTGGGTTAGCTTCAGGTTAGCTTGTAGCTAGTTCGACCGGGTGTCGTCAGTTGATCCCAGCCTTACAGCCCCACCCTCAGCTCCACCTCTCTTCCCTTTTATGGAATTGTCTGGGCTTGACGGAACCTGTGACACGGTCAAAATGGCGGTGGTGGCCACCTCCCATTTTAGTACAAAAACTTATTATTGGAGTCTATGGAAACCCATTGTCCATATATGTATGTCGATGGTAAGGACCCGTTCTACTGTGCGGTGGTCTATCGTCCACCTGGTCCAAACAGTGCTTTCCTTCAGGAGTTTAGTGTCTATCCTCCACTGTGAAGCTGTCCAGACTGGTGATTGTTGGTGCTTTAATATCCACGTTGATGATCCCTCTGATCACTTTGCCATGAATTTCTCCAGCCTTATGGAGTCTTTCAGCTTTACCCAGAATGTTTCTGGCCCCACACACACCAGGGGGCACACTCTAGACCTTGTTTTTACCCTGAGTCTAAATGCTGACAGTGTTTGTCCTGAGGACTTTCTTTAACTTGTCAGTTTCTGCGTCCCCACCTCCTGCTCGCCGTATGGTTAGTTCTTGTTTTCTCCACCCTGTTCTTCTGATAACAACCCAGATTCCTTAACTTCTCAGTTTAATGAGCACTGCTCTCTATTCTGGACAACATCTGTCCTGTCAGAACCAGATCAGTTCCTGCAGGGAACCCTACTCCCTGGTTTAATGACAGCCGCAGCCTAAAGCACCAATGCAGAAAAATTGAGCGCTTGAAGAAAACCCATCTCCACATCCATCTGCTGCACCTAAAGGATCTTCTGACATCCTTTAACTCTGCAGTCAGAGACGCTAGGGTTTCCTATTTTTCCAACCTGGTGTCCCAGAGCAAAGGGAACCCCAAGGTGCTGTTTAACACCATCAGCAGCATTGCCTCTCCTGCCTCTCCTACAGCCTCCATCCACTCTGTTG